TCAGCAGGATGACACGGACCTGAAAGAGAGCGACCACAATACCAATAACGGGAAACCTCTGAGGGTTTTAATAGTTTCTGAAGAATTTGGTGGATCCCTGTAATCCTCCCTTATGTTCAGCTGGAAAGCGTGGCTGTTTGCTGTGTTCTCCAACTATCTGATTTCAAGTGGAGTTTTTCTGGATCTGGGCCCTTCCTCAAAATGACATTTTTCAGGCGTGTTTTGAACATAGAGATGTTCAATGCCCACTCAGCTTAGACCGCAAAGGAGATTTAAGATCTTCACTTTACAGAACGATTCTTGAACTCCTTATTTTGCAAATTATCCTGGATCCCTGTTGGCTGAGCAGAGGCCGCAAAGTAGGCTGCATTATTTTACAACCATTTCTCAGTTAATATGGAGAGAGATACACTTAAAGATTTTGGGGGCAAATGTTTAAATTATGCTGAAATAGGCTATAGGACAGACTAAGTGAAGTTTTTAGCATATACCCTTCCCCCGACCTCTGCTGTTTAAGTCTGTATGAACAGCCTTGTTTTTTAACTTAAAAGCTGTTGCAATTCTGTTTTAGTCCTGTGCTGAAGAGTCCAGGCACATATATATGTATAACACAGCAGGCCTTTTCTCAAAACAACAGCCGTTGATCAGTTAAATTGGGCAGTTCAAAATCTGAGTGTTGTTAATAACAGCTGTCATTTCCTCGTGCTCGGGTACAAAACTGCTCTGACAGTTGGTGAGAGGTTTCTAACCTGCATATGGACATTCGTGGGGCAAATATTTCCTATTAAGGCTGTCAGATGAGGTAACTCAGGAGACTACATCCAGCATTTTTTCCCCTGGGAACTGATCTTCAGATCCCTTGTCCGAACTCTGAGCCTGCTAGATGTCTCAATTTTGGTACCGATTGCTTTGGAAGGGGGACAGCAGCAAACTAAATCAGTAAAAACTTATAATTGTAATCTTATAATTGTAAAGTCCTTCCTATAGTATGTATGCAGGGGCAGATATTTGCGAGGAGCTGGTGAGAGTCACTCTTGGAAGATAGGTGGCCCCTTCAAATACTTGCTCATTCTGGTTGCAGCCAAATAATCTGCCTTTCAAGAAAAAGCGGAATTGACCTCTGGTTTCACCCCTGTGTCCAGGACTGCCTGTATGATGCTGCCCCTATCACTTTGGCCCTGTATGCCTCAGGGCCAGCCTTTGTCCCTAAGGTGCTTTCAGATACAGGTTGAGTCATCTCCTGCCTTTGCACAGTGCAGATGTGCAGGTGGGGGAGTTACAGCTAGCACTTTGCGTGGCTGCTGTAATAACAAGCATAATTTTAGAAAGGAAGAGGCGCTAATTACCACAGCAGGGAGTAATAATAGTAAAACCCGAAAGCCCTGACTGGTGGAAGATGGTTATACAATTTTTAAGTTTTACAGTGCGCGTTCTTCTGGCTCGCAGCTCTGTGCCCTTTTCTCTGGGCCATTCTGCCTCACTCCCTCTAATGAATCTTTTATTCCTCACCCTGAAAAGCTATTTGCCTGAATTTCAAATTATTCTGCTTTCATCGGTGGCTTTAAATGTTTCATTATTTCCTCCATGGTCACCACAGACAAACACAAAACTATAATGTAGCAGGTTAAATAATCCATCCTGGATTTAATTGAACTTCCTTAATTAAAATGTCCTCTGACTGCATAGGGACACAATGATTTTGTATCATCATGAAACAATATAAAGGCTTTAACTGCTAACAATATTTCAGCAGCGTCAGTGGCTAGGATAGAGAGAAATTCATTCTCCTGTGATGTGAAATTTCAAAATACTAGGCCAGGGAAACTTTCTTATTAGAAAATGTTAATACGTCTGCCCTGGGTCTTCAAGGAGATATAAGAGGAAAAGATCTATTCTGCAGAAATGTTACTTTTTCTTTCAAGATGGTGTGCTTATTCCTTGGAGATTTTACATTTATGATTTCAGATGCAGACAAGCCCATTCCCTACAGGCAGCTCAGTACGTGCAAGACAGCACTACAGCTTTTCATTTGTTTGGACTAATGCCATATTTCCTAGAAAGCATAGACATTTAGGCATCAGTCTCTTCCTGGCATGTCAATTAGTTGAGGTTATCTACAAACAGCCTGGGTGTAAGCCCCATGCCCACCAAGCGGCAAGGCTGAAGCTACTGCCCTCTTTGTGAGGAGATCCAGCTCCCCGGCAAACCTCTGTGCACCAGCCCAACGGCATCAGCCAGCCCAGGATTAACCTACATCCAAAGGGAAGCCTGAAAGCAAACAACCTGATGTAGGCACAGCAGAGGGCCGGAGGGCTTCTGCCTCTGCGTTGGAGCTGCTTGCAAGCAAAGCCCGTGCCTTCCCCTGGAACTCACTCCAGCAGCCAGTTCCATTGAAGGTGCAAAAAAATCCTATAACAATATCCAATTAATTAGGGCTAGAGCTTTGCCGTATGCTGATGTCTGACTCTGCCAGGGTGAGAAGTGTGGGGGAAGTGAGTAGTTAGAGGGAGATAAGCTGAGACTGGAATTGCAGAGAACGAGTTTTGGGTAAGCAATTTCCTCCTCTCTGCAGACCATCTTAATAGGTTCCTGTTTTTATGCAGCAAAAAGTTATACAGAGGCCTCTGGAAAAAAAAGGTAAACAGGCCCTGAAAGAGATTGACAGGGAAAAAATTAAAATGGGTACTGTGCCATAAATCCTAATGAGCGAGCGATGGCCATGGCTTGCAGGGAACTTGCAAGCCATGTTGTGGCTGTCCACTCTTGGGGTGTCAACCACTTTCCAAACAACCGGCGTTCATTCTTTTTGTCTTGAGATCGGTCAGCTTATCTGCTTGTCTGGGCTATAGCTATCACAGTGTGTCATCTATGTTCCCCAGTAATACTTTCTACAGTCTGTGCTTCCTGATAGTAATTTTTTTTAACGTATGGCAGTTAAGCTGGCAGGCCATTGAACCATGTTGTTCAACAGTGATGATTCCTTGCACACAACATTTCCAGTGAAAAAATAGTGGTCCCCAGCAGGTCTGTGACAGGAACCCAGAATACTCAGCTAAGTGTTTCCTATCTTTAGTTTCTACTTTGTAATTCTTTGTTCAGATGTTGTCAAATACACATCACATGGGAATCATTATCATCAATATGTTCATCTTTATTCATCAACAGCCTGGATGAAGCGACAGTGTACCTCCTCAGCATGCTTGCTGATGATACAAAGTTGGGAGGAGTGGCAGATACACCAGAGGACTGTGCTGCCATTCAGAGGGACCTGGACAGGCTGGAGAGATAGACAGAGAGGAACCTCCTGAAGTGCAACAAAGGCAAGTGCAGGGTCCCGCACCTGCAGAGGAATAACCTCATGCACCAGTACAGGCTGGGGGCTGACCTGCTGGAAAGCAGCTCTGCCGAGAAGGACCTGGGAGTGCTGGTGGACAACAAGTTAACCAAAAGCCAGCAATGTGCCCTGGTGGCCAAGAAGGCCAATGGGGTGCCCTGGGGTGCATTAGGCAGAGTGTTGGCGGCAGGTGGAGGGAGGTGATGCTGCCCCTCTCCTCAGCCCTGGGGAGGCCTCCCCTGGAGTCCTGTGTCCAGTTCTGGGCTCTCCAGGACAAGAGAGACATGGCCCTACTGGAGAGAGTCCAGCGGAGGGCCACCAAGACGATTAGAGGGCTGGAGCACGTCTCCTCTGAAGAAAGGCTGTGAGAGCTGGGCCTGTTCAGCCTGGAGAAGAGAAGACTGAGGGGGGATCTGATCAACGTGTATAAGTATCTGAAGGGAGGGTGTCAAGAGGATGAGGCCAGCCTCTTCTCCGTGGTGCCCAGCAACAGGACAAAAGGCAACAGGCAGAAACTGAACCACAGGCAGTTCCATCTGAACCTGAGGAGAAACTTCTTGACTGTGGGGGTGACAGAGCACTGGCACAAGTCCCAGAGAGGTTGTGGAGCCTCTATCCTTGGAGGTATTCAAAAGCCGTCTGGACGCAATCCTGTGCAAAGTGCCCTAGGTGACCCTGCATGAGTAGGGGGGTTGGACTAGATGATCTCCAGAGGTCCCTTCCAACCTAAACCATTCTGTGAGTCTGTGATTCTGTGAATCTGAGTCATAGAGCAGCAGGTTGGTACTGAGGAAACAAGTTCCCAACAGAATGCTTCAATACATAGGTCTAGGTCCATCCACCTATTTCTTCCCAGTACCAACCCCTTTTTTCTCCTACATCTAGCCAGGAATCTCCTCTCAAATATGCTCCTACACATTCATTGTCTTGCCAATGGCAAAAGAAAATCTACCCTTTTCTACAGCTTGTCTAGAAGTGGGCTGAGGCATGTACCTCTCCCAAACATATATGGGGAAATGGATGTTCTCCAGATCCCATGATTGCTCAACCTTTGTTTAATTTGTTGCTGCATCTTTTGCTATGGGTCTGTGGGATTCACTCACTTGGAGGAAAGTCCTCTTAGCTCTCCAGGATGGGGTGACAGTGCATTAGGTTGCCCCAAATCTTGCAGGAGCTCCAGGGAGCTCCAAATGACCAATATGCAAGAAGAAAGTCTTTTGTCCAATAGTTTTCAGATATGCCATTTCTATGTGCTGCTAAGGTGTGAGAGAGTGAGCAACAAGCCAGGTCTGATAACTTGTTACAGAAGTTCTTTGTCCTACAGAGCAGGTGATTCATGTGATAATGGGCTGGTTTCATGTGTCTGGTTAGGCCTAATGATAAATCTGGACATATTGTAGAAGCAGTTATAAAAGTCCTGTCTTAGCACGTAACATCCAGCTGTCACAGGGCTTTCCAGAACTGTTCTCTTTCCCAGGAAACTTCAAAAAGAATCCTGAAGGATTATTTCCTCCAATGTCTCATCATCATAGTGAAATTTCCTTCGCAAAATAATTGAGATGGCCTCAGAGAGTCTCTTGATGAGCTGGCAGGGAGCGAGAATTGACTGGCAGAGTCTGTGAGCGTATTTAACATGACCCATTCTGCCCAGGCTCCACAAAAGACAGAAGACACAGTACAATTTCCCAAGGGGCCATTATGCTGCTACATGCTCTATGCAGTTGGACATCTGAAGCATGTTTATCCAGACTGGTGTCCTCAAGTCTTGCTCACAGGGAGGTTCATCCAGAATTCCCCTGCTATGCTATCTTGAAACTAAGATGATCTTGAATTATGCTGCATTTTAAAAAGTAGTTATTAGGTATGCTTAATATCTACTTATCTTTTTTTTTAATTTACATTGACTCTGCAACTTCTTTCTAGAGAACGTAGATTAGAAAACAGTTATGTTTCTCAAGCTGATGTTGGTAGCTATGTGAAATTTCACCTCACTTCAAGATAATTACAGACAAACTGCCAGCAGAGACTAGTAGATGTTTGCTTAGTGCTTTGAAATGTCAAGTTTTATCAGTGCCAGTGACTGCTGGATAAAAAATCAAGGCTGTTGCCTTTGGGATCAGCATTTGCAAAGTGGGTGCAGAGTAAGATTGCCCTACAACAAGATTCAGCTGTTCCCTGGTTTAAGTTTAGAAAGAAAACCCAAATAATTTATGCTATTTTTAATGGAAACCCCAATTTAGTATATCTGTTCTCTCATGGCAGCAGCAAACACAATAGTGTCACACATACTGCCTGTAGGTGACACTTGACATTAATGGAGAACAACTTCTGCCCCTCATTAGTTCACTATGTATTTTAGATTTTTTTTAGTAGGTTGTGGAATATTTGCCACCAAAGCTGCTTACCCATCTGGGCATCTTTCCTGCTTGAGGGTCATGATGATGAAACTGTAAAACCAGCACTGTTACCACCACAGACAGACCAACGATCACCATGATGCTTGCGAAATATTGAGCTGCAATTGAAAGGAGGATTTGGTTAGAAGAGGAAGAAAAGAAAAGGTAAATAATTTTCCTCAGCTGGGCCCTGAAAGCAATACTGTGTCACATCCAAACAGCCTTTCCTCTGGTGGTCCACACTGTACACTGCGCACTGCACACTGCTTGAGGCCTTTGCGGCTTGCAGTGTGTCTGCTCAGCCCTCTCTCCTCCATCTCAGGGTTGCGTTTATGCCTGCTGCAGGAACGGCACGGTACCCATGGAGCTGATGAGACATGGTGCTCACATGGTACCAGTCCTGGGAGCCTCCTGGTGGTACCAGCAGTGCCGAAGGGACATGCTTTGTTTGTTGGGTCACTGGACCCCTTGGCAAAGTGTAACCGCGACACTGTCTCTTATCTGTTCTCCCCATCCCTGCCCACAAGAGGTTAGGCATCTTCGTCAGCACCCTCCTCAACCCTCAAGCCCACCTCCTCTGGGTCCTACGTGTGCTTTCGCCTTACTGCTAAATCTAAGCCTGGCCATTCATGACAGAAATCAAGATCCTTAAAGCCAGAGCTGGGACTTGAAACCAGTCTAAGTCCCAGCACAGCCTCCTCATGCTGGGAGTTAGGTTGAGGCGCTGGAGTGAAAAGAAGAAATGCCCACAAGGCTGACGACAGTTGAAGACTGCTGTGGGAAAATACTAGGGAGCATGACAGTTGGGCGATAGGGAGCAACGTGGGACAACACGTGACGCTGCCAGAGCTTGCAACCTCCTCCCATGCCTCCCCCACTCTCTGCCAAAGCTTGCAGGAAAAGTCAAGGATTTTAATAATGACTCCAAGGCAATTTTTGTACCAGGCTCAGTTTCCTAATAATGCTTTCCACTGCCTTAGCAGCAAAGAGCACGTCCATAATAATGAGGTACTGGGGCCTTCCTGAAACCAATGCTAGAATTGCTTCAAGAGGCAGGCATAGCTTTCCATGGCAAAATGAATTATGCAGCTGGACTAGAAGAATACTCCTGAGGGTGAGGTAAATTGAAAGGTCTCTATTACACTTACTCACGGAGGAATAAAGCCAACGGCAGTGCAGAAACAGAACAAACCACGAACTCAAGTTTCAGAGAAGGTGACTGATCTGACTCCGATATGCGTCATATAATAATGCACAGCTGTGTTGATATCACTAGAATAATTAGTGCTATAAATCACTAAATCCTGCAGTAAATTCTGTGCATTTGGATGCCACTAATAAGACTTCCAGGCCTGAAGTGACCAATTAAAATTGGCTAGGATTTTTCATAGAGCCTTGGAAAATTAGCCTCCTGGCTGAATTTGAAAAGAAGCTGGTGTTACCTGATTCTTGAAAATCCCAGCCAAGGATTATCTGAGGAATTCACGTTATTAATTTCTTGTCCTGTGATCCCAAGAACAGAGGTCAGGTAATTGCTGTGGAGGTCTGGATTAAACAGGGAAAACAGTTCTCTCAAGCAGAGACTTGTGGGGGGGACCTGTGATGCCATGAAGAAAGATGCTATCTGTTTCTGCCTGATGGTGGGAAAGGAAGAAATGGCAGAAAAATATTCTCCTCCTGCAGCTCTCAAGAGAGCTCTGGTGGGAAAGACTTTCATACTATCTCTCACGCACCTCCCCAAGAGCATGCCTTAATCTTCCTCCAGTCTACAGGCCTGGCATCTCTGTCCCTGGCAGTCTTTAGCCCTCACCCCAGCCAGATCAAACCCATCATTTGACAAAAGCTTCAAGGGTTGCAGCCCCTTGTCACCTCCAACACCTCCTCTGCCCCAGCCACAACTCTCTCATCCTCCTCCAGCAGCCCTGTGGGCAGAGTTGCTGAGAGGATCAACCAGCAATGAACATAGACACCACTTTCCTCAGAGCTGTGGCACTGCTACCTCCACTACCTTGGCTCCACACCATCAATGAACTCCACTCCTGTGGAGTCTCTGCTGATGTTGCTGAGCATGGTTACAGGAGTAGAGACGCTAACCTAACAGATGTGAAACAGGGAGCAAGCAACGGAGTAAGAACTGAGCTTTAGCAGCTGCAGTCCAGCCATGGGACTATCCTCTTCCCCCCTAGTATTTTAGAGTCCATCCTAAATCTCACAGCGCAGGCGCAGTTAGGGCTTTGAAACTCCCAGGAAGTCTCTCTCCTGATGTGTATCTATCAGCAGTGGGCAAATGTGAACCCGATTCTGCAAAGAAGCTCAGCCCATTTCATTTAAACACCTGAAGGAGAATGCTCAATATCTGTCACTGGGCATATTGTTGTCTTATCTTACCCAGGAGCTCCTGGTTACCACGCTCTTTCCTAGGCTAAATGGCTCCATGTGGTGGCTTTAACAAAAGTCCCAGTCGCGGACAGTGTCAGCCCCCAGTCAAGGCGTAGCCAGCCCAGTGTGGGGTACGCTGGGAAGAGCGCGGGCCTGGGTGCTGGATGAGAGTTGCTCTGGGGCACAGCTGAAAATTGATCAACATACTCTGGAAGGAAACTGCTCTCATTTTCTCCCTCTGTCCTGGGTAGCTGCCACAGGGCAGGAAAAGAGACCAGGATACCAGCGTTTGGAGCCCCTGTATGCTCCTGCCTTGCACAACGATGTTCCCCAGGGACACAGAGGGCTGCACTGGTCACGATTAGCTGTTCTTGGTGTAATTTCAAAGCTGCATGCTGTTTCTTCAGCAGCCACATGTCAATGAAACAGCTGCTTCTTGCGCACAGGAGCGGATCTCTTTCAGACATGAGGTGTTTGCTCTTTTACTGTTGATTTTCTTCCCTTTCTTTGCCAGAGGAGACATGATGTAACATGCTACCTGGGCAGCTGCTTAAACATCTGGGAGCTGTCAGCCTCAGTCTCAGCACCATCAGAAGATGACCAGGTGCTGTTATCACGGCAGATATAGATCTAATACAGCCACAGAGACCCGCTAAGTCTTTTTAAATGGTAAGTGATGACAACAGCTGTTTATTCTTGCAGACATTCTCTGACATTATAGAGTAAAGCCTGTATCAAAAGGATGGCATTGACTTGCAAGCCAAAACTTGAGGAGCTTCCAGCACCAACTTAGGGTGTTCTCCAACATTACCCAACATCAGGGAAGCACCTTAAGTTTACTTTGGAGATGTTTTGGAAGATCTCCTGCTTGAGTGGAACTGGATTAACTTTAAGGACTGATTAATAAAATAAGGTAAATAAAACAGAAACCTTACGAAAGGCAAGAAGATCCCAGATGGATGCTTTGATTTGTTGAAATTATTACTGAACACTCGCAGGGAAGTCAGTGTATTATCCAAATTTATTAACCCAGTTAATCATGGAAAGGCAGAGCTTCCCCACTGTGGCAAGTTACAGTCCAAGTTTTATAATGTAGTGGTGGGGGAGGAAGGGGCATGTCTTACTCAGCTATTCATAGTGACTGAGCTGGATACATCCCACCGGAGTCTGTATTCCTTCTCTGTAAAAAGTGTCAGTTACTACAACTGAAATGCTAGAGTGGTTTACAGCTCCTACAACTCAGGTCATGTCAATCATTTGAGGTCAAATACCTCCATTTAACTGTCTGGAAATGGCAGAAGCGTCCCAGAACATGCACCAAATGAGTTGTGCATTGCTACACCTTCTGCAAAGGCTCCCAATTAAGAAGTTGCAGCCTGTGGAGGACTCAGGAGACCTCAGAGGCCAGCCCAAGGGCTTCCAGCCATTCTGTTTCTCTCCTCCTATGGCAGGGACCAGGGCTGGTGCTAAGCAGACGGTGCCTCAGTGCACAACAGCTGGTGCCAGGACCAGGGCACCAAAGGTGCAGGAGGGGATTCCCTTGCTAGCTGATTTACTGGGGTACACAGAGCGCAAAGAAACAAGGAAAAAGATGTGGGCAGGAATATGTTGTCCGTTACTGATAAGACCTGCCCTAGCTGGGCCACGCTGTGCCATCCATTATGTCTCGCTGATGTTAGAGAGCAAAGAGCGTCATCAAGTTCCTGAACTGTGAGCTGATGCCTCATAAACACAAAAAGTCTTCAGAGAGTGAGAAATCTAAGGATTACACTCTGCGTTTACCTTTTGGTTATGATACTTGAGGAGGGCACAGGGACAGTGTTTTCAAGCTCTTCTCCCAGATGCTTTTGAGGACCATCTCCCAGATGCTTTTGAGGACAAGGCATTTGAGAAAAAGAACAGCTGGAAGAAGCTGAGCAGAGGCCTGGAGTCAGCAAGGTGCCAGGCAGGAGCATCAAAGGGCAGAGTGAAGAGCACTCCGCAAAATCAAGAAGAGACAGAGAAAAATGAAAGGGCGGATGCTAGAGTGACAGCAGCTGAAGAGATACAGGCACATGACAGAAAATATAATGAGACATTCATCTGATTTTCTTTATCCAGTCAGAACCGCTAATGGCTTTTGCTCTTCACTTAAAACAGTCCGTAATTCTTGGAGGTGGTAAAGCACTATGCTGCTTCCTTGTCTCAGCAATTTGCAACTTTGTTTGCTCTATGGCTGAACTTCAAGAAATCACCCCAAGCACCTGGTGCAAACGTATTTGTTCACAGCTTAGAACCTTCTTCCTTACTCAAATAAAATATGCATGAAAAGAAGAGCAAGAAGGGGACAAGTGACAGTTCCTTGTATTCATGAGTCCCAAGTTCTGTTTTGGAAATGCTCTGTGAATACACCATTGTTCAGGTGTTCCACAGTTTCTGCAATGAAACACCTTTTAGAGCAAAATACAGGTTCTTGATCTAAAAGTGGTGGTACTGTTCTGAAGAGAGCTGGCAGGAGATAATGATTTGCACTGTTCTGGAGTTTACTTAGGCATATTTAAAAAAAAAAAAAAAAAAGCTTTGTTTTCTGCGCTGAATTACAGTGCATGATGGCAAATCCAAAATGGTTGAGTATTTCCCATATTCAACAGGACGCCTTGAAGTTCCAGGCCTGAAGAGTTTCTGCAGGAGAAACAAATCATCTGACTGGTTTGAAAGGTCTGAACACTTCCGTTTGCAATTTCGCTTATGGGCAGAAGCA